GGCGATGGCAAACCCCCCCCCCCCCCTGTTGCTGTCTTGTCTCGAAAAGCCTGCAGAACCTCCAGAAGTCAGCTACAACACGATGGCACTTTTACACCGCCGTGCAAACGGACTTTGGTATGGCGAAGAAGTCTAGAATCGAATGCTCCACTTACGGAACATTCAAACTGAACAATGCAGAAACAGACAAGCTCTTCCAAAGCTCTCCTCCATCACAGCAACTACAGGAGACCAGGGTCAACAGGTATGGAGATACCAGAAGCCAGTTAAGGCCAAGATCCCCTTTGAGTCAATAGAGGAGGCTCCTCGCACCGTTTTGATGCCCCTCAAGGTCTGCCACCTTTGGCGGTTACCTAGATCTGCCCAGTGGTAGCGCTGACTTTGCTGGCTCAGTTTAAGAGACGCAGCTACTATTAACGGAGGATGCCCATAGAGCAGCTCTCCATGCTTATGACAGAAAAAGACCCACCACTCCATAAGAACATAAGAGATGCCAATGTTGGATCAGGCCAAAGGCCCATCCAGTCCAACACTCTGTATCACACGGTGGCCAGAAATACCAGGTGCCATCAGGAGGTCCACCATTGGGGCCAGGACATTAGAAGCCCTCCCACCTTCTCAACCCCATTCCAGTTGAGCATGGCATTCCATCGTTTGCATGGTGCATGGGTGCATCAACAATTCCAGGTACACACCCTGACCTGGACAGCCCAGGCAAGCCTGATCTTGATATCGGAAACCAAGCAGGGCTGACCCCGGCGAGGACTTGGAAGGGAGGCCTCCAAAGGAATACCAAGGCTGGGACGCAGAGACAGGCATATCGAGCCACCTCTCTGAAACGTCCAAGCCCCAGTAGGGGTTGCCAGAAATCACCATGACTTCCTGGCGTGCGTGCACGCACACACACACACACACACATACAAAAAAAAGGACTAATTCAAGATCCACACACTTACTAGTCCTTCCCAATGCAATACTGTGAACGTCTCCCCACTCCCACCTAATCACAAGTACTTACTGATAGACTGGTGCTGCTTGGCCTGGGGGTACATACAGGACTTCATTTTCATATGTCATGGTAGTACTCTCGAACTGGAAGAAGATTTGGGGTAGGGGGATTGTAATTTTTATACCCACCTGTGGCCTAAGGGAGAGATATCCGCTCGGTTGACAAGTCAGAGCGGGTGCCTTCAGCATGTTGACAGCACCCTGCCTTAAAGCTATGGGCCCACCCAGGGGTCATTTCATAGAAAGAGAGGTGCAGGAGCTCATTAGCATAACTCATTACCATAACTCATTTGCATATGCCACACCCCCTGATATCACCGGAAGTGTGTCAGAAGGCAACACCCACCGCTCAGGCTCCACTGGACCGTTTAGGATTGCTAACTATTGGGGGGG